GGGCTGGGCGGGCCGCCGGCTGCTACATAGAGGCGAGCCGGGGCCGCGGCGCCGCATTGCCCTGCCGGCGAGCCCCGGGCGCGAGTCGGAGCCACTCCGGAGCAGCCGCTGCCCAGTGTCTAAACGTGCCCCGCTTGGTGCAGCCCCCCTCCCCGCCGCACACCATGCCCATGGAGCTGACGCAGAGCCGGATCCAGAAGATTTGGCTGCCCAGCGACCACCGGCCCGCGCCGCCCCGCCGAGGTGAGCCGGGCGCTCGGCGCTGCACGTGGCGCGGGGCCTCCCCGGGAGGACGGGGGTGCTCCCCTCAGTTTTGGGGGGCGGGGAGGAGCCCGTCCCAACCAGCAGCTGGTGGGAGGTTTTTCTCTGCTGCTTTTGGGAAAGGGGAGGGGGGGATGGAGGGGCTGAGCTCCTTGAGGCCCCTTGGCACCCTCGTGGGTGGTGATGCTCGTGGGGCGCACGTTTGCTGCTTCCAGCATCAGCAGCCGGCTCGGGAAAACCCCAGGCACTCACTGTGCTGCTTGCTTGGTGGTTAGACAGAGAGAGAGGAGAGGCGGGGGTGTCTGTGTGTGTGTGTAAGTAAAAGGACACTTATTCTGCTGGTGGAAGTAGAGATTTCAAGCTATGCAAGCCCGGGTGGCGAGGAGAGGAAGCCAGACCCTCTGGCTTTGGCAGGGATGGTAGGATCCCCGGGGGCTTGGGGTCTGATCCTGCCATGCCGGGGCTGTAACGCGAGCTGAATAGGAAATGGCTCTCAGCAGCAAGGCTGGACATCTGGTAGCTGGTCTCCGGTCCTGGAGAAGCTGGCTACCTCGCCGCTAGGATATGCCGTTCACGTGTTCGGGTTTGAGCCTGTTACTCCAGCATCCGCGGAGATCCTCGCAGGAGAGAGATGCAGCTTCTTGCCGGAGAGAGAGGGGACTTAGTTCTGGTTGATGGAGATTTCGGTGAAGGCGCTAGGGAATAGCACGATGCATCTACATCTAGTTGTCCTTTTCCCCTAGCCTAGGACAGGTCCCATCCTGGATGGGATGCGGTGGTTCAATTTTTATGCAGCTCGGCATCAAGGGCTCGCTGGTTTTTTTCCTTATTTGCAACTGTCTGGGTTAAATGAAACAAAGGGCACCAACAAAACTGGTCCAGGCTGCCGGGCAAACCTGAACCACAGCAGGGATTTTTTTTTGGATGCAAACAGAATAAAATCCTGGGGTGGGTGGGT